CAGGTTCAAAACTGGCCTCTACCACAAACTCCCTGTGTGACTCGGGGCAAATCCTGCTATTCATTCTACAAATATTTATTGCCAGACCCCTGCTATGTGTTGAGGATGCAAAACTGAATATGATATAGAATTTGGCCTCACAGAACACACAGCCTATTAAGAAAGAAAAACCAAAAATGGTTACAGTACAGTTTTCATCTATAAATCAGATCTAATAATGCTTACCTCCCAGGGTTCCTGGAAGGATAAAATGAGACTATATGAGAAAGCATTTTGCTCTAGGGTATTATATGAATACTAGCATACTAGTACTAACGTAATTGTACAACTAAACAAAAACTATACTGGATTATGCTTATCCAGTGGATCTCGCAGTGTGGCCTCCAAACCAGAAGCGTTAGCATCACCTGGAAACATATTCAAACTGTATATTCTCTGGCCCCACCCCAGTCTAGTGAACCAGAAACTCAGGAGGTTGCAACCCCAAAATCTGTGTTTTAACACTGCCCTCCAGGTAATTCTGATACAACAGAAGTTTGAGAACACTGCTGAGTGTTATCTATATAAGGTTAAAATATAGGTAATGCTAATCCTAGTAGGTACAAGACACTCATTTCCTAATTATCAATAAGGAAATTAAAACAATATAACTAAATTTTCTGGTTGTCCAGTATAATTAGCAGAATTCCTAAGGTACCATTAATTATCTCAAGTCCTTCCGTTAAGATTGGAATCAGAATAGAGCCCCATCCATACTAATTCTGCCGATGGTGTGAGCTATGATTTGAGTCTAAGTTTTAAATACACAACACAGATTATAGAAATCCAAATGAACTTTTTTCTCTGAAACGCAAGTAGAAGACTATATTACTTTAATGAGAGGGTCATGACTAACCCAATTTGAGAATTCATCTTGGAAAACTCCTTCAGAATCCATGGCACATTCAGATCAATACCTTCAATATTAATAAAGGTTTATTCTTGGAGGATGAAAGTCACATTCTACCCCTCCAGGAGGCAGTTGGGATAATGAATTATAGGAGCTTCCAAAAATGGTAATATTTGCCATATTTTGAAAATTTTCACGAATTCCAATGGTTCCATAAAACAGTATCTCCATGGCCTAAATGTTAAAAATGAATAGCCATCTTCATCTTCACATATGTTCATTGATTATCACCTACACAATAAGGTAGATAGTACAAATCTTTGTGACAATGCCACCCGGAACCTACAGGGCCTAGCATAGAATAAGCACTCAAAAAATAGTCGTTGAGTGAATGAATCCCCAAGGTTGGACAACATGAATAATAATGGCCACAATTTTTTACTACCCACAATACATCATAACCAATCCTCACAACAGCTCTGTGAAATAAGCATTACTATTTCCATCATACAGATGAAGAAGCTGAAGATCAGATAAGTTTAAAAGGAGAGTCAGTATCGTTCATTTAGTGAGTGACAAATTAAAAATTTGAGCAGAGATTCTTCTGACTCACAAGTCTTTTCAATGAGACTACTCTAAAGTGAGAGGCCACTGTCACCTTTATCCACTAAAGACGGTATGTTATATGTGTCATATAAATTCTCTAAGAAGTCAAAATTTTTGGTTTTTAACAAACAAAAATTCTTTAACAATCCAAGTTGATCTTAGAGAATATCTGCTACTGGTTTACATGATTACCCAGAAATCTGACAGCTTCCTTTCCCTTTTGAGCTGTTTATCTTTGTAATTTCGACTGAGGTATTCATTGCTTTGTTAATAGAATTTGCCCTTGTTATTGATTGGTTTATTTAGAATAGCAAGATTCCTGGAGCACATGAAAGCTTTTTGCCACTGAAAATTACCTGGCCCAGGATCATATATTGGTTCCTTTATTTTATTTTTAACAGAACCATAGGTGCTAATTAGGTGCTCTTTCAAGCTGCTGGAATAAGATTCTGAGGCCCCAAAACTGCTGTCGGTCTCATCATCATTAGCCCTGAAGTGCTCCTCTATGAGGAACTTTTCACACTTGACATGTCCCTGCTCTTTGCAAATTATTTTAAATGACTTCTTAATTAGAAGTACAACGTTGCCCAATGTTAATGAAGCAGGCAGGAGTTGCCGAGTGGTCAGGAAACAGAGACAGTTCTGATTCCCCTTTTTCCTCTCTGAAGACCCCTGTTTCTAACTGAAGTAACTGCGTCTTGTCTTTAACCAATGTTGTCTTCTTTACAATAAAATGTGAATTCTTTATCTCTGGGTTGCAGATTTTTGCAGGCCTTGTGAAACTCAGATCTAGTTAACCTTATTTTAATGTTTTTTCCCTTCTATCATGACCTCTGAAATACATAGAGAAGAGATTATTTCTTTCAGGAAGAATTATCTACTTAGTCTGTGTTTCTGACCAGGTAGTGATTCCTGTATGTTTTGCAAAGGCATTGAGCAGTCTGTCAAAGGAAGTGTTCTCTCATTAGGAAGACCTGCCAGAGACAACGCCACAAGAAAGCATTGTTAAATTCAAAGAAATCTTTTCTCCCCACACCACTGTCCACCTGTATTAAGAATTTGTGTTGTTGTTTTTTTTATTCCCACTGATTGTTCACAATTCTGTTTAATAAATTACTTAAATAAATAAAAAGAGAAGGATCATTCCTCAATTTTATTTTATTTTAAAAACATTTCCTTCGTTACCCAAACTAGTGACAGGGAAAATCATAACAGAGTAGGATACGCATTACAACAGGAAATTTCTGTTATAAGAGAACTACTGAAAGGTTCCCATCAGTCCCTCTTCATAACCCCGGACCAGGGATTTTCAGACCTGAGGAGGTTCTTAGTTTGGAATTGAGTTTAGATGCGTCCAGAGTCAAGCTATGCTGAATTCCTCCCTCATCTTGCCATAGTTTCCACACCCTTATCTTAGTTGATGTCATCTACCAAGCTAGCCTACGCTTCCCTTTGAGGACATCTTTGTATTTACCTCTTCTTTTCATGTAACCCAACCACACCACATCAGAGTGCTCTGTTCATTAAACATCAAACAGTTAATTAATAGATGCTTAAAGAACAAATTGAGAATCAAAAGCTAAATTGTACTAAAAATTGATTACTAAGTCAAAGTGTCTCACCTATTACCTTCAACAATAACAGTATCATTTATCCAGCATTACTACATTCCAGGCACTCTGCTCATTGCTTGGCATGCATTATCTTATGTATTTATTGTAAAGTGTCTCACCTATTACCTTCAACAATAACAGTATCATTTATCCAGCATTACTACATTCCAGGCACTCTGCTCATTGCTTGGCATGCATTATCTTATGTATTTATTGTAACAAATTTATTATATGTATCTCCTTTTTAGAGCAAGAAAAAAGAGGCTTCCATAGGAAGATAGCTTGCCTCACATCACATAGCAAGAACTGACAGAGCCAGCCTTCTAGAAGGAAATCACCAGACCATACTCCCTTAACCAGAATTAGATGATACAACAGAGCCCCTCTGGCTGTGCCCTCTGCCTGGAGCTAAACTTCCATCCAAAAGCACACCCAGCAGAAATTCAACCAATTACTAAGCTCAAAATCTGCTGAGCTCCAAAAAACTTGTGAGAAAACATCTTATTAACTGGTAGCTTCTGGGTACTTATCTGTTTTATCCATACCCATGTAGCCTTCAAGGCAGAGGCTCCCAAAGGGTGTCCCAAGATCATCTGTATCAGACGCATCTAGGTACTTGCTGAATATGCAGATTACTAAACTGCACACCAGACCTCCCATGTCAAAATCTTTGTAATGGGTTCCAAGAGGATGAATTTTTAATAAGTCCTCAGAGAACAGATTCTCGGGCACACTAAAGTCTCAGAATTATTGTTCCGGGGCCTCAAAACCAAGGTATACGGTCATACGGCCCCTTTGTGTTAAGTGCGGGTGGTAAGGCATAGATCACATCTCCGACGTAGCTTTCCCCATCCACACCTTGAGGAAGTTTGGCTTACTGCATTTATACTCAAGCCCTTATTTTATAAGTGAGGAAACAAAAGTCGAGATCAATTAAATGATTTCCCCAAAATCAGATTTCGAGGCAAGGTTCTTGACTCTCAATCTTGGCTTTTTCTCAAGCTTAATTAGAATCATTAGGAGTAAATACTGCATTACTGTTAGATCACACTTTGCAAAGGGAATGGAGAGATTTGTAATAGACCGGCTGATCAGATAGGACAGGTCCTAAGAAATAAAGGGGAAAAAATCACTGAACTAAATTTAAAAAGATGTGCAATAATTCTGTAATATTTTCCACTCTCTTCCCATAAATTTACTAAAACAATAAAAGGTAGAATTATGTCACCTTTTATTGCAAAGCCCTATATTTATGATCTTATGATGCAATATGGAGACAAGTTATTTCAGGGTTTCTTTTGTTTTAATAACAGCACATAAAAATTCTTGCTGATATTTTGTTTTTGTTTTTGTTTGTAAGAAAGAGCCCTCTACAAATAACCCTTAATGTGTGCTACTGCTCATCATGCTTTTTACTCAGATTCACCTTTAATGATGTTAGGTTTTACCTTTCTAAATTTCTTTAAATCTTTGTATTCGCAGTATAGGAAAAAAATCCTAAAATAGCTCACCATGAAGAAAAAAAACTTCCAATAATTATTTCTTCCTCTCATTTCACAAATTATATACAAATTACATTCAATTGAAGTAATAGAGTTGCTCTTCTCTGTCAAATTCAGAACAAAGTCAGCAAATTGAATCATCAGAAGAAATAAATATGTTTTTAAATATTCATATATACTTAAACATACAAAAACTAAACACTATAACTCTACAATACTACTCTCATTCCTAGCCTATGACTTGAGTTCACGGTCAATCTTTAATGGGTGGTTTAAGGAAGGTGGCAAAAGTTCCCAGCTACCCTGAGAGCTTTATTCTTTGCTTATACAAGGGCTTTTAATGTTTTCACAATGAAAGCTTTACCAGTAGTGCCAATTCCAAAAACTTACCTTTTGCCTGGGAAGCCTCCTTATGAGCCAAGCTCAGATCTTCAAGTACCTCTTATCAAAAAGCAGAGAGCAGAACACAGACTGCTATCCCAAAGGTTGATGAGTGAGGTCACCAGCAAATTCACAGGGAGTTTCAGGGTACCAGGCACCTTAACTGGGGAAACAGCGAAGTAACCAGTTAGATCCTTAGAAGAGGCTAAAGACCCTCCATGAAGGCTCAATTCCAGACAGCAATAACCCCTCAGCTAAGAGTAAGACCTATAGTATTCTGTACCAGGGAAGTTCTTAGCCTGCAGAAATGGAAAATTGGTTTTGTTCTCAAATCCTTGTTTGAAAAGATGTGAGCATGGAGAAAAGGACACACAGAGAGCAGAAAAGGCTAGTGATGTGGTCCAAGGCTATTAAAACTTAATAAATAGTTCTTACTTCTTAAGTCTTACAGTACAGTAGCAAACCAAACTGAGAGAGTCTTGAGATATCACACTACAAGGGATCAAGGAGATCTAAAGGAAAGCCAAAGTCCACATATTCACTCAGCTTATAAAAATGTCAGGGAAAAAAAAAATGTTAGAGTAGTTTCAGTAACAATCACTGAGAAGCCAAAATATAAGCCAATTAATCCTTAGTGTGTTTGAAATAGAATTTTGTCAGTTCCATTGACCTGGCTAAGTCTGACCTCTTGAGAGATCAAAATAAATGGACCCAAAGGAAAGAAGGCAATTTTTTTCTTCTTTACCCTATCACAAGGGGAAAATCTTGTATTGACAACACAACCACACAGACCATGGCCTTCCAGTGAAAAGTATTAGTCAATCGGGCATCCAAATGTCTTTCTGTGCCTCTATACATGTCTATGTCTCTCTATATCTCTACTTATATCTACATCTCCTGATGGTGGGCAGGCTTTTGAAGAGAAAATAGGATGGCAGAATAGGGCTCCTAAACCGAGCAGAAAATGGAGCCATGATACAGAATACAGAGACAAAGTACTACAACAAGAAATAGCAGGACAGCAAGGGCTCTGGGCACGGTAAAAGATGCTGACAGAAAGAAAAGGCAGAAAAGTAAAACTTAGCACAAATACTCCAGCCTCCCAGAATTAAAATTCTCTGAAATACACATATTACAAAAAGAGAGAAAACTCACATAGAGAGCCAGAAGTGTAGCTATGTAAAGCATTCAACTAATAGACTGGATATTGTTTCCATTTCCATGGACATAATGATGGGATGACTCCAACTTTGCCACCTGGCCCTCCGTCTCAGAAACATACATTTGTATGCACCCAACACCCTGCCTCCAAAAGGCAAACATCAAACTCATAGTCAAACATGACTCTCCCTTTTTCTAATTTTGCAAAAAATCAACCTATCTCACAATAACTCCCCTTATGACTCATTTCCTTATCTGTACAAATGGGATTATTACCCATCCCTCATCTATCTCACTGGGTTGCTTTTCCAGTGAAATTACATCTCATAAGGACTTTATAAGGCATAAAGCACAGATACATAGGAAATGTTGTTATTGGTATTGATGAACATTTGCACAAGACATGTAGGCAAGACGGAACAAGTGATGCTCCAGTGGATGAAAGTGGGTGATAGTGGAGAGCTGATAGTAGTAGCTGGAACAATTAGTCTCTGTTCCACTTCAGTTTTTGTTTTTGCTTACTGCCTGCACAATCTATTGTCTATTCAACCACTTCCCTGGGGGAGCAGCTTTGCACTAAGTTGATGATGTGTCACAATAAATTTAATTTTTTTCTTAACCAGTATGCTCACAAAACATAGGTCTTTAAAGAATCAGAATTAAATTGTGAATTGGTCCACGGGCTGAACACATAAACATTTTCAATACCCAAGATGATTTCAATTTTCTATTGCCTTCCAAAAATTGCATGGCACTGTGAGGCTATAGATTATTAGGCTATGATGCACCGTATTTTTTAATTAAAATTAAATTCCAATGATCTGTCAGGCAATCCAAGTGAAATGCACAGTGTAATAAATTCCAGAACTTATTCTCCTTCTCTGTCCATTAGAAAATTGCACTAAAATCCTACATAATACAGTTCTACAGCTATGCAGAAATGTTTTTTAAAACCCCTTTCCAAAAAAATCTTCATTCAAAATATACACAAATATTTATGCATTTTTCAAATTAACTCATGGAAGAAGAGCACAAAGCATCTTTGCGATCTTTGGGGAATATTTTATGTGTAGATGAACATAATTCAGACACAAGTGGTCCAATTTGGTCAGTATTGTTTTTTCACCAGCAGAGGTGAAGCTGTAGAGCCAATTTGATATGGTAGAAAAGAATAGGCCCAGAGGTCAGGAGAACTGCTTTCTAGCCTTGCTGTGCTACCAACTTCCATATGACCTTGGCTAAATTACACGGCTTCTCTGGAACTTAAAATCTTCACTAAAATGATACAGGTAGGCTCCATTATATGAAAAGTTCCCGTCATGGCCCACATTTACTTCCAGTAATTGTTCTTCCCTTTTTCCATAATAATAGAACCTCCTACTTCTATCTAGTCTCTTGGCTATTCACAATAAAACTTCCTTTTCCATCTCCCTTCCCTAGGCATGACTACATGAGCAAGTTCAAGTCAGTGGCACATGAGTAAAAGTGATGGTGCCCTTAAAGGGAAGCAGCATACCCTCCCTCCCCGCCTCCATCCCCCTGCCCCATTCCATGGGCTGAAGCAGACATGGCCATGAGTCCTCTTGAACCATAGAGGCAAAGACCACATCCCATAACTGATGGCACAGCAACTTGATAGAAAGAGCCTGAGTCCCCAGTACCATGGAGCTACCATGCAGATGCTGACATGGAAATCTGCACTATGACAAAAGGGAGAAAGAAACTTTAAGTCCCTGTTGTTTGGGATGTCTTGGAATTGCTGAACTTACATTGCATTTTTTCTCAGTTTGGAAGGCAATATGATATAGTGAAACATCAGGAGATTTGGACACTGTAGATATGGGTTCAATCTGTAGATATGGGTTTTACTTCATAGCTTTGGGCAAATTCCTAAAAATCTCTGAGCCTCCGTTTTCTCATCTCTAGATAACGTAAAGAAATTGAGCCTATTGAAATGCCTAGTAGTTGGTAACCGATCCGTAAATGGTAGTGTGATGAATTTCTATAAACTGGTATAAAATGATAATTGTTCTGAGAAGAACCTTGGGAGCGTTCCATTTTGTTGTTTGGGGATAATTTATAGCTCTCCAAGTACCAAATGATAACCACATAAGCTGAACATTTAATCAGCTTAACATTCTGAGACCCCTGAGCATGTTTTAATTACAAGTCCCATTGCCCATATTCCAGGCTCTAATCTTCCAATCAGAAAAAAAGTATTGCGGTCCAGTGTGGAATGGCAGATCAAAGTCCTCTCTGAGGCCTAAGGTCCTTGCCAACTCACAACATTTGGAGCGGCCATTGACTTTGTACATCCCCTGTGATTCTGGAAAGAGACTAGGCTTTTTTGCAAAAAACGGGTATTTGAATAATTTGACGAACAACATCATGACAGATAAATAAATATTTTCTTTCCTTTGTAGAGAGTTTTTTAAAATACACAATCCTGACATCGTAACAGTCGATGATTAACAGTTGAAACCATCTTGCTTTTTTTGTATGTCATTTTCTACTGTCACAAACTCAGCGAAGCCAGGTGGTAAGAAGGGTAATGGAAACCTTCCCTCGGGGGAAAGTATCTTTCATCCCCCACAGGCAAATTTTAAAACCAATTTACTGAACACCACTGAGATTTTTTTCACCTTCCCCATGAAATTCCAGCCATTGGCTTAGAATTAAATTATAGAACGGGTTGCTTTTACCTGGGAAGAAAATTTTTACATTTGTTCTGAAATTTTTTCCTTCCCTGGTAGGAATAGAGGTTTATCATCATTACAAACCTTCATGGAGAAGAGTCATGGCACAAAAACATTTCCCCCAGAAAGTCTCCAACTCTACATCTCTTCTATATTATGACTTATGTGGAAAATCTGTAATCCTTTTTCATTTTGAAATAAATACCTGCCTTAACCTTCTGAGGATTGATATTGAGCTTTGAATTATACTTCAAATGGAAAAAAAATTAATGGATAAATATTAAAATCATTAAATAGATTTTACCCAAGAAATACAAAGAAGACGACTCATTCCAGGCCATTGTTATATGATGTATCGTATTTTTTTTTTTTTTGGTACTTTTTTTCTTCAACTGGCACGCATAAGTCTTTTCTGTCTACCTGCTTGTCATCTTTATGTCGAAAGATTTCTCACATCATATTCTTTTTACCACTCAAAACACTTCACTTTAAAATTTTATCACAGGATTTTCTAAGTTTTTTTTAGGTTATGTCACATAGCACAAAATATAAAAAGCTCCTATTTTTGAAAAGTCAGCTTTAAAAAGAAGAAAAAAGATTTAACTGACTATCCAGAGTATTTTCTCAATTGAGTGTATAATCATTCTTCTTAAAATTTCTCATATAGTTCGAAAGCTTGATAGACATTTTGCCTCATTAGAGTTAATGTGACATAACTATAAAAACAAAGAATAAAATGACATATGAGGGCTTCTTTTTCAGTCCTAAATCCTTTCCCTGAGGCTCTCTTGCTTTCTACCAGGAGAATTTCTGTTGGAAGAATCCATTTATACTGGAGTTAAAAGTTCATTCGCTTTGACACACTTGTGCCCTTGCAGAAAGGATTCTTGCCTTCACAGTCTCATCCTGCTCTCTGAATGCTCCTTACTTACTCCTACTGTTTTTATACAATTTAAATAAAGAGTTAAATGCTTTTCGCATATCCCCAAAAGTACTCTACAGACTTTTGCGGTTCTCGTTTAGGTCCTCCTGCCATAATCCCTCTCTTAGATCTAATAACACTCCATAGTCAGATGGGAAAGAGCAAGATGACCAGGCTATCTGCTTGTCTCTCTGCAGATAGCAGGTGGTGGTCAACACAGAGATCGCTTCCCAGAACCCATGCTATAGTTTGGGGGAGGTAAGAAAAGAGGAGAAAGTAAAGCATCTCATATAGGTTTTAGTCTCATGACCTGCAATAACTAGAAATTAGCTATGCACATGAGATCTGCATCTCATCCTACAAAACTTGATAGGAAAAGATAGG